AAGCGAAATCTTTACATGGAAAAAAAAAGTTAATCACAGAAAAATAACAAATCAAAATTGTAAGTGAGACAAAATTTCCGACAAAAATGAGAAATTTAAATACTTAAAATAATAGTGAAAACTAAGTGTAGGGAATAGAGACCACAAATATATAAATGTAGTTCGATCTATATATGATCTACAGTTTTACCTATAACATCTAAAAAATTCGTTTCACTTTGCAATATTCATTCTTTCAATCTAAATATTACTTTTTTACAAAAATATGATTTTTGACGTCTAAGTTTTATTAATAATGAGTTCTTGTTAAAAAGCGCTTACGTATCAAATTTGGGATTTTAAAACAGATGAGCTATTTCTGATTAATGAAATGCATTAATTTTAAAAAAAGTTAGAGTTTTGTAGGTAATTGCACTTTTTAAAAAAAGTAGTTAGAAAAGCGAAATTATCGGAAAAACGTTGGTTTACTTTTATAATTTATTCAGAAAAATGACGCTAAAAATTTTAATTCATATAGGTTTCTGTTTACTCGCGGCGCCTCAGATCTATAACTATGGGTTAAACGCCCATCTATTAATACGTCCTTGGTTATATAAATAATCTAAAAATGAACCCAACAGTCTTGTCACAGAAAAACGCGGAAGAACACAAATCTAGAAATTAAACGACGCTTTTCTCAATAATGTTGTGAATATGGTAAGAATAGGAACCTCTGACCTCTTGATATAAACCTAAGTTAATTTAACTCTAACTCAATGTCAAACACATGACACATTAACACATGACATTGAGTTAGCGTTAGATTTAAATCAGAAAAAAAAGCCAAGGTTCTCAACGGTTTTGCAGGTGTATGTATAGATGTACCTGGGTAACATACCACACATATTTGATATAGAATTAGTGAGAAAAGGTAGAGTTTGAAACAATAAATACTGTATACATAAGAATTCATATTGAATGAACTATTTGAAAATCTTACAACTACAAAATTTCATAAAACAAATGAATACAGATATTGAATAAAATATCTGTTATTGTATTTCTATTTAGTAAATTTTTCCCCATATAATTACCATCTTACCTGATCCCTATCTAATTGCCTGATTTAATAAGTTGATGGCAATAAATATTAAGTGTAATAGCGAACTTAGGTTAATTGATCTCTATTAATCTTGAATTTTATGGGGTTAAATATAATACAATATATATATATATATATATATATATATATATATATATATATATATATATATATATATATATATATATATATATATATATATATTAGGTGTATTAGGCCCCTAAATTTGCAGGCCCAGCAAATTGTCTAGCGTGGCAAGCCTCCATACCTACAAACTACACATAAAAATCTATGTAACTTTGAGTAAAAATAATGTTTGCTGAGTTTTAAATTTTTAGCTATAATTCTTTGAAAATTGCGTAATAGAAGTATATATAGTTCAAACACTAAATTAGTTTATTACAATAACACACATAGGCAGATAAAAGTTTATGGCAGTGTCTCAGAAATTTGGCCTGTAAGTTTATGATGTTTCTTTGAAGAAATAATTTAACTTTCAATTACTCAAATAGTATTGTTTGTATCAACAAACAATACTAATAGTGGAAGTTCAGAAGATAATAGTACAAGTGATGATCACACAGTTTCATTGAAACGTATAATACTATTTGTGTTATCAATGTCTAATACACAATAATTCCAATTATCATAGTTTCTTTCCAAACAATCTAGGCAATCACCAGTTAATGCTAATTTTAACTTTGTTAAATCTTAAACATTTCTTCTGCAAAAGAACCATGTCTTGGTCCAGTGATCTACAATAAAATTTCACGCCTCTATTATTCATTCTTTTTTTGTCAAAAGCAAGCAATAGATAGCTCTTGAATTCCATCGTGCATTTAAAATAAGCCCTAGTTGAGTAAAAAAAAATCGCGGATAAGTTCATTTTGCTTCAATAAGACTTGTATCCTTTACATAACAAACCCAGCTTCGTATAATCATTCCATATTTTTTACTTTTAATAACTGGCCCGTTAGGTTTATATTTTTCAATTTATTTTTTTCAATGAACCAGTAATTAATATTAGGCAATGTTGATAAAGAATCAAACTTTGAGTTCATAAAATGCTTAATAATAAGGTCGAAAACATGAAATCTACAAGGCTTATAATCAAAACCTGGAACAATTTTTGTCAAACGCCTAATTACTCCATTTTTAGAACCTGTGTTTTCTGCAGCGGTGTCACATATTACAACGGGAAATTTTTTATAATAATTTAAATTCCAAAAGAATATTGTGTAACATGTTATAAATAGAAACAGAGCTGCTTTTCTCAATTTTTTCAAAATATAACCAAAGATTTTGACTTGCTCGAAATGCAAGTGGTAAGCACCACATTGCTTCAGAAGAGTCAATATAAGTCCAAATCAAGCTTATTTTATGCAAGCTTGTTGTAAATGCTTTTTGGACTGCAGATCTGCAAATTGATGTCGTGTCAACTCCATAGTGTACAGCTTCTGCAATCTTTGCCGTAAAATTTATTTGATACACTTCATTTTCAGATATCCTAGCTACAAATTTACAGGTGATCTTTGCACGTTTCATTGAAACTGTGTAATCATCACTTGTACTTTTATCTTATGTACTTTCACTATTAGTATATAGAAATCAAATCAAAAGTATAGTTATCAAGTAAATGGGCATCAATTATTAAAGTTAGAGTTTGAGAAAGACCTAGGAGTGATCATCAGCGCTGACTTAAAATGGGACCGACAAATCCATTCCGTAATAGCAACGTCAAATCGTATATTGGGTCAGCTTAAAAATTCATTCAAATACATTAACATTACCACTTTTAATATGCTCTTCACGTCAATGGTGAGGCCACATTTGGAGTACGGTGCTTCAGTATAGAATCCGAATAAACTAAAAGATATCATAGCAATTGAATCAGTCCAAAGAAGGGCAACTAAACTAGTCCGAGAAATTAATGGTAAAACATACGAGGAAAGGATCCGCTGCCTTGGTCTGACAACACTAGAAGAAAAACGATTAAGAGGAGACCAAATACAACAATTCAAAATTAAAAATGGACTAAATAAAATAAACTTATATTCTAGTTTAACCCAAGAAAAACACAATCATGGCACAAGACAACAAAACTTTCTAACCAGAAAACAAAACAAGTCTGATATCCGGTACAACTTCTTCACAAACAGGATAGTCAAACAATGCAATCAACTGCCAGTATACTGTCAAAACTCAAAAACAACAAACATTTTATTTTTATTTTAAAAACAATTATGACAATTATATAAGAAATGCATATTTACAACTACCATAAATGGTCTTTATAAAGCCATTTCTCACGACGATGTCATTGTAGTTTGATAATAATAGTAATAATAATAATAATAATAATAATAATAATAATAATAATAGAATTGTTTGTTGATAAATAATATTATATATTACTATTTTACAAATGATCAAAAAATTTACTATAATTTGACTCAAGTTCTTTTCTTTTAGGTGGTAGGTTTCGTGAATGTGTTTTAATAGACTCTGTCACAATGCTACACTCACCTTTTCACCCTTTGGAAGTTTTCATAAAAGAGTTTGTCTTCCAGATTTTTAAATTTAGCATTTTTTGGCATTATGTCAAATAATCTATGCCAGCTATTTACAGTGTGCCAAAAAAAATAATGTAAAATACGATTAAATTTCTAAATTTAAATAAAATACTAATAAACACTTTTTTGGGAGAAAAGTATTTTAAATTAAAGAAGAAATATATTTAGCTTAATATTTTATTTTCATTTTATAAATTTCATGATCACATGATCACATGATTTTTTAAATTTTTAATAAATGTAAATTGACTTTGATTTAAATTGAAAAAATAAAAACTGTAGCAAATTTTTTTTTGAAGGAACTTAATTATAAATTTTAGTACTTGGTGGGTCCACCTTTAGCCTGGATAACAGCTTCACATTGTCTTGGCATTGATTCAACCAAATTTTTTGTTTCTTCTCGCATAATTTTCGCTCATGCCGCTGTCACAGCCTCTTTAAGCTCCTCTTTCTTTCTGAGTGACCAATCTCCAATTTTTCTGTCCAGAATAGCCCACAATGTTCGATGGAGATTAAGTCTGGGCTTTGTGCGAGCCATTCAAGGACTTCCACACTATTATCAGTGAACCGTTTTGTTGTATCTTTAGCGGTGTGTTTTGGGCCGTTGTCGAGAAAATGTAAATAACTCATGTTGTTCAACTCTTATATATTGCACACTGTACAATATATAATAGTTAAACAACATGAGTTATTTAAATTTTCAATTTTTTGACGATAATTTAAAATGGATTTGCGCAAAGGGTTTTTTGCATTTATAAGTTTATTTTTATGTTTTTGTGAGTTTTAGGTTATTACTCCACCAATAGTTATAGAACCTCTACTTATATATATATATATATATATATATATATATATATATATATATATATATATATATATATATATATATATATATATATATATATATATATTTATATATATATATATATATATATATATATATATATATATATATATATATATATATATATATATACTATGTCATAAAAATGTAGTTTATACGTGTTACATATACTTATATGTTTATTTGTGTAATTTCCATATTAAAATAATATAGGAAAAAAAAAAAGTAAAGGAAAATTTTATTATATGATGAAATCATTATATAAAAATGAATGCTCAAGTTTTATTAAAACTTACTTAACATTCTTATCACTCTTAATTAGAAACCATTATAACTATATAGGAGATCAAGAATCAGATAAATTATTCAATCAAGTTAATCTATTAAAATATTAATTAAAATTAAAATTCTAAAACAAATATTTATAAATATTTTTATCATGATATTTGTATAAACCTGTTTAGAAAATATATATAAAATTTCAATAACTTTTTTTTACAAGGAAATGTTAGTACTTCTAATACGAGCATAAGCTGTGGATCCAAGTACTGTCCATCAGTTAGCATTGTTACAGATATTGAAACTATTCATATAGACATAGTTTACAAACTTATGGGTATTCTTCTTGGATTAAGTCTTGTTGGTGTATTATTAGTTATACTATTCTTGGATGCATTGTGGGAAGATACAAGAAACAACCAATCTTTGATAAAATTATGCATTTCAACAATTAAACATGCAAAAAACCCAATGATTTTACTACTAATTCCCATTACCATATTTAGTGGAATGGATCAAGCGTTTGTGTTTGGTGAGTATACAAAGGTATGATTTCTACTCGTGCTGTTTATGTTTTAAATAAACTACCATATGAATATAAATTTTATTGATTGTTTAAGTGCATAAAATTTAATTTTGGAATAATCATTGGAAAATTGTTTAGACATTTGTTTCTTGTTCTCTTGGAATCGATGTTATTGGTTATAGCATGATGTGTTTTGGCGCTGTAGCGTGTTTAGCTTCTGTTGCAATTGGATTAATTGTAAAGTGGACTGGAACATACTTAGTGATGGTTATAGGAATGTTTTCATATTTGGGTCTAATGTCATGGTTTCTTGTCTGGAACACTGGAGCATATCCTAACTACACTTTTTATGTTGGTGCCATGGGCTGCGGTTTTACAACTGCAATATGGATGTCTCAATCCAATGGTAATTTTTTTGTCTATTTATATACTTTTTTGCCTTGTTACAATTTTATATATTTGTAATTAAAAAATACAATAAATGTAATTTAAAATTTGTGAGTATTTAAAAAAATTTTCAAATAACTTTCAAAAACTAATCATTGAGTAAAATAATTTGTTGAAAAATTTTCAATATTTTTGTTTGTTTAGCAATTTATGGGGTATACTTTCCCAAAACACAAGAAGCTGCGTTTTCAATTTACCGTCTTTTTCAAAATTTGGGCTTCACAATTTCGTTTGCATACGCAGACATATTATGTACCTCCACAAAAATTTACATTTTGATGGGTCTTCTCATTTTTAGTATGGTACTTTACAGTATTGCTGAGTTCAATTACAGAAAAAATGTTAAAAATACTTGCAAAGAAAATAAAGATGTTGTGGAAAACACGAATTTGGATGAAAAATTTTAGAGTCTAACTTAATAGATAATTATCATTTATATAAAAATAACTAAATAGAAATTTCCATTTATATTAAAATAATGCGAAATTGTAATTTTAATTAAAAACAATTAAAAACCATTTGCAAATAAATTCTATTAATACAATATTGGTTTAATAAAGTTGCTCACAGTGTTTATGCAATTTAACACTTAATATCTCACTTTCAGAAAGAGACTAATTTAAATTTGTAGCATTTTTTTTTATATACACAGTTTATTAAATTATACACAGTTCATCAGAGATTCTTACACTAACACATAATGGATTTAGATTTAATTATAAAAATGAAAATGAATTTAAGCAATATTTAAGATAGAAATTAGTGTATTTCTGAAGAAAAAAAAGTAATTACCTTTTGGTGTGTTTTATGCAATTGAAAATTTTATGGATTCTTTACTAAATACCATTGAAGCAGTTAAAGAACTTAAAGAAGAGTATCAAAAAAAAAACTTTTGATTGAAGGTATTTAACTAAGCTATCCGTTTATCTTAAAAGATGGTTGGTTACCTGAAGAGAACGATATTAAACACTGACTGATATTTTTTTGAAACATTTACGCATATCACTGCATATTTGAGGAAAGTCCGCTTTAAAAATTTTTTAAATTATATAAAAGTAGTTTTGTAGGCATCATGGTAATCAAATAAAAATACATATATACAATAATATTACAATACAGTTTAATAATATTACCTACATGACAAAAGCCAAGAGTCGACAATATTTGCATATCAATACACCTTTAAGTTGTGGCGTGCTTTTATTATAAAATGTGTCTAAAATTCATTAAATATAATTGTATTCTACCATTTAAGAATTACATATAAGTATTGTTTAGATTAGTTACTACCGGCGATATAATTTACGGACGTAAATGATTTTTTGTCAATGTTATAAAATATAGCCTGCGATAAACCTTTTATTGCCGAAATGTTTACTGTCAAAAAATGCTGATTAGTTGATGATTTTTATTCAATAGAACATTCTATATTCCCATACAAATATGGACAATAACAGCGTACCCATAAATAAATTAAAAATATATCATCACAAAAACAATTACAAAATTATAAAGAAACAAATAGTTGTTACTTTTAGAATAAATATTTAACTTTAATTCAAAAAATTAACTTTATTTTTAAATGAGCCGAGGTCTAAAAACTGGCTCCGGCTCCAGGCTCCAGCTCCATTAGAATTTTTGGCTCTAGCTCCGGCTCCAGCTCCGGAGCGGCTTAGCAAAAAAAAACACAAATCAAAAATTGATTTTAATGTTTTATGACAGTAACTTAACATTTTGTTAATCAAAATCTTGATTCATCCTTAAAAATAAATCTAAAATATCAGCTTTGAGTGAAGAACGCAGATCGCTCGATACAGGTATACAAGTGACAACTCTGCACGGATCTTGTATTCTTTTTGGGTATTCTTCAATTCACTCAAAAGCTGAATTCACTTTAGAACGTCCCATTTCTTTCATTATCCTACAGTTGCCCAAAAAATTTGGATTAAAATTATTTTTATCAAAAAAATTAAAAAAAGAAGCATGACCAAAATTAATTTCGATCAGACTTTTTTCTTTTTTATCATGCTCCTTTTTAAACTCATCCTCTTCTCCATTGGAATAAGATTCACTATGAACTAATAGAAGTACTGTAGATAGCACAGTAGTATTTCTTATTTCTTGACTTTCTATTATATTCTTGGCATCACTTTTATAAATTTTTTCCGCTATTGATTTTAAGCCTTGTTTTGCTCGTAACATTTGGTTTTCTTCCAATAGTATTCTATATCTAGCATCAACATAAACTGCAGCAAAAATATATCATTATCAAAAGTTTTTTTATGCCTTCGCATAAAAAAACTTTTGATATCATAAAACATTTTTTTTATCATTATCAAAATCTGACCTAGAGAAGAATCCTTGATTCTTCTCTAGTCAGATTTCAATTTCAGCCATTCGAACTCTCCTGGAGTAATGTCGATTAACTGTCACATCATGTGGCTTTTTTAAAAAATTACAAAAATGACTACCATGCTGGCCATAATGATAGAATATTAAAAAAAGGTGCCAATTAGTTTTTCCAGTAATCACGTGCCAAATACATGATCATCGCATGATATAATAATTAAACTCATTGTGTAAATAGTAACAGCTAACCAAAATTGTTGTTAGAGTTTGAAACTATCCTTTAATGTTACTTTGCAAGTGTAAATTGTTTAGTTTGTCACTTTGTTAGAAATGGTTAAACGTCGTAATATTTCCATTGAACGTGCTGCCCAAATCATTGCTTTATCAAGCGAAGGCATAAAACAAAATGCAATTTCTGATAAGTTGAACCATGTACCTGTTTGATGTTCACTGATGAATCCCTCATTAAACAGTTCTACACATTCAGCAGTCATGTTCGCCGTCCCATTGGAGAACGATATAACCAACGTTACACCACCCCTAGGGTCAAACAATCTCCTTCAGTGATGGTCTGTGGTAGCATTACAGGAAAAGGAACATGTGGCTTCTGCTTCCTGCCACAAGGAAATACAATTAATGCAAATGTCTACCTCTCAATCTTGAAAGAAAAAGTGCCATTCTTCATGGAGTTGCACATTTGCACACACTTCCAACGGGATAGAACTTCGTGTCATACTGAACGGACTGCCAAGACTTGGATTAATGGTCAAGGCATCAGATGCATCAACCCGTGGCCCGGAAGTTCTCCGGATCTCAATCCGATTGAAAACTACTGGGCTACCCTAAGAAAAAAGTCGCTGCTTACAGGCCAACCTCCTTGATAGACCCAAAGAAACTATAAAGAAAGTGTGGTGCACAAAGATCAGTGCAGAATATTGTGCTCACCTTGTTCATTTAATGCCTTCGAGACAATCAGCAGTTCTGGAAGCAAAAGAGAGAATGACCAAATATTAACTTCGAAAATTAATTAACTATGCTCATTTCATACATTGTGTGTACATTTACGTTTACGTTTGCTATTTCTATTAATATTTCTTATGTTTTGCATCATGTTTGAATAAAATGAAAAAATATTCTATCTTTATGGCCAGCATGGTAGATTTATCCTATATTTCAGGGCGTAGAAAAAATATCTGATCAGCTGCAGCAAATTTCTCACACTGGACGCAAATGTAATAATCTTTCGATTATCCAGAATGTAGAACCCCAGCGAGTCTCACTATCCAAAATTGAAACAACTTTGTATTGCTGCCTTGCTAAGAATATTGTATGTAGGTTTCTTAGCTTCTTAACAACATAACGGACTTTTGCCAAAAGTTGCGCAATGTATGTTTTTTTTAAATCATACGAATAGCTAGCTGCAAAGTGTGAATAACACAGCGCATCAGCTTAATATCAGTAGACACTTGTTGACACCATTCTGGGTTGATAAAAGCTAGATTTTCATCCCAAGCTTCTTCACTTTCTACTTTATTTGTATCCTGTTTTAAAAATTCCACTTTTTTTTAATCATGCAAATTTTTATCTCAAAAATTTTCATCACGTGAACATTTGTTTAAAACTGTGATTGCCCTCATCATATTGGCTGCATTGGTTACACTTTCACATATTATTTGATCATTGCTGATACCAAATCTATATGGAGTATCTCCACCATTTTTTTGATAGCAATAGTGTTGTGCTGTCCTTGTGTATCTATCAGTGCCAAAATTTTTTTTTTTTTTTTTTGCATAATAATATTTATCTCCAAATAGTTATTTTGGTATCGAGTAGCTGCATCTATTTTAACATAAATAAATTTCTGTAACAATATTTTCTTTATTTCAGCTTCTTTTTTTTTCAGCAAATTTATTAATAAAAAACATAAAAAAAAACATATATAAAAGACACTTTAAGTTACTTAAAAATGTTTTTAAAAATGTTTGTTTTTTGTTTTGTTTGTAATACGTGTATTATCTGTTATTTTATGATCTAAATTCAAAAAGTTTATAAATCTAAAACCAGTTAGAAAAATGAATTTAATTAATAAAATGTTCTTATACTTTTGGATTTATTACACTCTATAGAGTGTAATAAATCCAAAAGCTATGTTATAACATAGCGTAAAATGTATTTTATTTATACTTAACGTTACATTTTATTTAACGTTATTTTACTTTAACACAATGTTTTATTTAACGTTTATTTAACGAGTTACTTTGCTTTGTATTTTTAATATTGACAGTTTTATTTGAAGGGGCTTAGTGATAAGACTAAACTAGTCTTCTTCTTGCCCCAGCCATGTATTATATATTGTATAGGACAAACTTGTAAACTTTTTTGATGGGCGAAATACATAATAATAATAATAAGTAATCAAATTGCGTACAGAACTGTGCCCGGTACTGAACCTAAGAGTTTTACCTAATTGGCCTGTAACCAACTAAAATCCTTTATTCGCAAATGTTTTCAACAAAACTCTGTTATTCATTTCCATTTTAATAATTTCAATTTTTAAAGTTTTATCACTAACTTGATTTATTGTTCAACTACTAGCAATAACAAAAGAATCTAAAAGAATCTGTTTAGTATTTTTAGAATTGAAATCTTGTGAATGTGATAAAATAATTTTGAAGATTTTCTTTGAGCCATAAGGATCATTTCAGATTCAAAAATTTTAAAATAAAAGATTTTTTTTTATTTGCATAGCGCATAAAATTACTTTATCGTTTAACTTTTCTATAATCTTACATGTAACCAGTTTTGTTTCTAAAAACCTCTCAGGATCGTTTGAGTTTGAAGCTATGATAATACAAAAAGTGACAAATTTTAAAGATAAAAAAATAATAAAAAAGATAGTATAAACAAAAATAATATCAATAATATCAACAAAAAAAAAACGTTTAAATCTTTTTCTAATTTTATTTGGAACTCACATGTTTAAATCTATATTAAAGATGTTTTAACTAACTAAAAACGTTAAAACAAATCATGTGACTTAAAACATAGACAAAGTATTTTTTCGTTAAGGATCTTCCATAAAGTACGTACATAAAGGATCATACATAAAGAACACTCGAATGGGGGAGAGGGGTCGATTATAAAAGTAAAGAGACACTAAATTAAAAAAAATATCATAAAATGTTGAGTAGGTAGGTTAAAAGGGTAGGTATTTTTAGGTAAAAAAAGTACCTACCCTTTTAATTTCAAAAAAGTGTAAAGCAAAATGCAGAATGGGGAGGGGAAGATAAAAAAAAAGCTTTCGTACTTTATGGACGATCTCATAACCAATCATATTTTGTAAAGTTTTAAAATAACTTATCATACTCTACAATAAGAACCACATGACATCTTATAGAAAATAATTGGATAAAAATTATATTCTGAAAAAAAAAAATTTTTTTAATAAATCTTATGAAAAAATGCATTATTTTAATGAGCGTAGTTGTTTAAATTCTTTAAAAAAAATTTATTATATAAAATAATAACTTTATTAAAGTTTGATATTTTAAATTATCAAAAGGGTGGAGCTGGCCTGGAGCTGGCTCCGGAGTCAGGTTCCGGAGGAAATATTTTAGCTCCGGCCTTGGATCAGCTCCTTGTTAAATCACTAGCTCCAGATAACTTCGGTTCCAGCTCCAGAGCTGGTTTTTAATATTCTTAGTAAATTTTCGTTGGATGCTTTCAACTGATTTAAACATTTAATTTGGTGCGGTGGCAAAACTGCAGAACAATATCCTAAAGTTTGTCTTCTATCGGTAGTGAAAGCTCTAACTAGGATACAAGGGTCGCGAGTTTCAAAACATTTTAATATTAGGTATGTTAAAAATTTGTTTTTTATAGTTAAGATTACAATCCATTGTTACACCTAAATCTTTTCGATTGGAAGATCAAGCCAAATTACACTCATCTAATTTATAGTTATCCTTCGTACCTTTGCGTAATGAGGGAGGTGCTATCTTAAGACGTCCGATGGACGTCCCCCGAACTACGCATGCCCACTAGGTTTGAGCTCATGTCACGGTACGAACTATATAACCTTATATCATCTGTATAGAGTTGTAAACAACAATCTAGACTATTATTTATGGTAGTTAATTCTTTAATATATATGGTAATGATTTAACTGTTTCTATTATATATAACAGAAACAATGTTTGATCTAACACACTACTTTGCGGAGCTCCATTAACAATGCGTGTGAGTTTGATAAAGAACTACCAACCTTAACTTGTTGATATCTATTGGTGAGAAATGTAAAAATCTAATTCAAAATATTACTACTTATATTATAAGATGCAAGTTTGACTAATAGTTTGGGATGCAAGACAGTGTCAAAGTCTTTTTGGAAATCAACAGATACAACATCCGGTATTTTATGATTATTGAGTGCGGTGTTCTAATTATTAGTAGATTCTAAGAGATTTGTACAGGTGGAGTGTTTGTTGAGAAAACCATGATGATTATGAGTTAATAACTTATGATGAGTTAGATACTAAATAACACACACATTAATCATTCTTTCCATGACGTGACAACAAGTGCATGTCAGTGGAGTTGGTCTATAATTATTTGGATCCGCGGTAACTCCTTTTTAAATAATTGGAGATACGATAGCTTGGGGCCATTGGTTAGAACTTGACTTAAAACTGGCCTCAAAAATAAATGAAAGTGGAATACACATCAAATGTGTATTCCACTTTCAATTAACTTTTCCAGAATCAAGTTTGTTATGCCATCAGGACCATACAATGTGCTGGCTTCAATTTTAATTAAAGATTAATACACTGCTTCTGGTGGAAAATTTGCAGTTTCAATACCAATTGAATAGTTAACATAACTATTAATAAATAGAATAATTATTATTGTTTGTAAAAACACTACTAAAGCAATTGTTAAACACGTCAGCGACTTCTCCGTTACTGCATGGCATCAAGTTATTATTGTTTTTGTCTTTTAGAGGAAAATTACTTTTAGATTCATTCAGTTTTTTATTAGCACTATTAAAAAACTTGCTGATATTGTTTTCTTTAACTATGTTAAACTCAACTTTCATTTGATATGGAATATTTCTTTGCGTTTCCATATTTATTATATGTTTTATGCGTATTTTTATATGCTTTTTTCTGTGTAATGCTTTTGTTTTTAGACCATCTTTTCCATAAGAATACTTAACGATTTGACATTTTCCCGATAAAACCTGGATAGTATTTTTGATATAACTATTTTATTTCGTCTTCTGTACTTTGTTTGAACAATGATTGGCCGGTTGAATCATCAAATCCTACATTGTGTATAAAGAAAAAAATTGATTTCTCAGAAGCCTTTACTTGTTATAGAATTTAAACAATTTGAAGTTTAACAATAATTTAAATATCTGATGGTGTACATCAGTCAAAAATATGTTTTAATTTATTGTTTATCTGATAAATCAATATCAATTGTTCATGCTAATGATGTTGTTGGATGGAATTCTGAAAAATTCAAAAAAATCTAAATTTGTAAAAGAGTTGAATTAATCGTGATGAACAACAATAATATGATAAAGGTAAACTTGAATCACCATAATTTGATATATATATGATTACGTTTTAGTTTTGCAATGTGCGACAAGTTATGACGCCCTGAAAGAAACTTTAAAATTTGTATGTAAATATAAAATGCAAAACTATGTTTATAGATATGTTTATATCTTTTTATGTTTAGTTTTAAATTTATTTATGGTTTTATATTTTTCTAAAGAATTATTTATTATCCAATTTTTTTATTTTTATCCAATTATTATCCAATAAGAATTATTTTTATCCAATTTATTATCCAATTTTTTTTTTAATTCATCCACTTCGCACAGCTTCTGAAGACTCAAGTTTTGATAGCAATTTTTGTTCTAAGTCAATGGTAATGTTTTATTTATTGCAGTTTAGACAGTTTGTTTAGTAATTTATATATATATATATATATATATATATATATATATATATATATATATTTATATATATATATAATTGTCATTATTGTAAATGTTGAGTCAGGTATTCCGTTGATTTAAGTTTATTATAGATGCATGATAGTATGCATGGTATTTGTAATCGTCTAAATAGTGAATCACTTAGTCCACAAGGTTTGAATATTTTATATTGCTTAATCTCAGTATTTATTTTTTACAATGTTTTTTCATGGAAAATAGAAATATTATTTGTTTTAAGTAACATTAGGAACAGGTCATTTTCTTTTATAAAAGTCAATATCCTTAATAACAAGTCACTTTCTTATGAGTGCGTACATTTTTTGTGAACTAAATTATATTCAATTTAAATTGACAAGCCTTGAACAAAGGCAGGAAAAGTTGGAAGAACGTTTTTGTAATGATCCTGTTGATCAGAATATCAGCCAAATCCAGTTCCCAATTTTTAATTCTTTACTGCAATATTCTGAAGTTAAAAAGCACCCAAAGAATATGGTATGTTTTTTTTTAATTTCTGAATATGCAAGTAGCCATAAACTGTTGATTTTGGAATGTAGTAATAATTGTATAAAACATTTCTAAACTTTTTTAGTTGTCATGGATGATGCTTGAAGGAGGGCTGACTTTCCATCACCATATTTTGCTTATTATGTTGCTGACTCATGCCATACAAAAAAGATCAACAAGCCCGAAAATCTGCTTAAAAGTAAGTGAATAACCAATTTGACTTACAACCACTGTTTGAAACAATAAAATGAAGTAACAAAAGTTGTTAATCTTTTGTTATTAACAATTTACTTATATTTATACGAATATTTATATTGTCGATGTGATTATATGTAACAGTCTGTTAAACAAATAGTAATTATGATAACAATTACTATTTATTTAATAATAATATTTATAATAGTGATTATTTTGTTGTGATATATTTATAGCTTCAACTGTTCACTTTTTCTCCGGCATCACGAAAAAAGAAGTTGAGTTAAAAGTTGCACGATTTTTTAATAACGCGAGAGATTGCTCTGGTGGTCGGCTGCGGTGATGTAAGAAAACAGCAGTTTCGATTGACGCGAAAGATGCAGACAATGACGAGATAAGTAAAGAGGACAACGAAGATGATAACGCTCCTTGATAAAAGAAGCGAAATACATCTTTAAATGAATAATAATATCTTGTATTTTGAATAGCATTACTATGTAAATAATACGTAATATATAATATGTAATATATAACAGTTTAGGTAATATGAATCGTAATAATAAATATATTAAAAAAATATTTGTAATATTTTATAAAAAAAAAAAGAATTTAAAAAAACAACCATGCTTTACTACTGACTTTTTGAGTGGTAACGCGTGTTTTTTTTTTTTTTTTTTTGGTTGCCTAAGGGCTAACCCTTAAGGGAACCTTAAAATCCGCGCGGACATTTTTTTAAGGGACCCTTAAATTTTTTAAGGCGGGTAAGGGTGTTATTTTTAATAATATTCCTCATTGCAGTACCGTTGAGCAAATGGCTCGTGAACTTGGCAGTATTTCAGATTTGCAAGCAGCGGAGTGGGCAGTGCATAATAATAATTTTACTCTTGGATTTGATGCTACAACACAAGAAGGTGTCCACATTAATAGAATTAACTTAACATCTAAAGATAAATGTCTAGTTATTGCTCTAGATCAGTTACCAGGAGGAACAGTAAATGATTATGAAAGTCATATATGCACTTTAATTGATTATATGGCATTTGTTTATTCAGATTTTTACCAAAGTAGCTTTGATGACTGTCGTAACTCAATTATTGAAAATATATTTAACACAATGTCAGACAGAGTTGCAGTCAACCATCTTACTATAAGCAAAGTTTGTGCAACCTGGGGCAAGAATTTGAATGAACTGAACTGCCATTTGCACCCTCTTGACACAATTGCAGTTTCATGTCGCTCAGCGTTACAGTCTTGTGAGAGTGAGAGTTGTCAATTATTTGGAAATGATTGTATGGCAGTTAAAATTATTTTAGCCAAGAACAAAATAAGGTTTATAGAAAAAAAAGTTGTTAAGTGGTTTATTCATGTTGCACAAAAAAAAAGAAAGCGAAATCGTCTGCAACATGCTGAAATTAAAGCTCAGATTTCTAGGAGAGAGAAATTTCAAAACGTCAGAGAAATTTCAAAACGTCAAATGATGGATGAAAAGATAAAAAGACAAATAGAAAGAGACCTGTTCAAACTAACTTTTATTGAAGTGAAGAATAAATTTAAACACTTGTCAACCAAGCAGTTTGATGATTTGGAAGATGTTATGTTTGACAGAATTATTGGAAGGAAGCTCTGCCATGAATGGTGCCATGTTGACACATCCAAATCTGTGAAGTATGATGGCAGAGTAAAAAAATCAAGTAAAAAGCAAAATGATATAATTTATAGTATTTCCTACTGGAAAGATGATGAAACTGAAGTTGAAGCTGTTGATCATCCTATGAAAAAGTTTCAACTTGCTGCAGATGTCATTACAGGAGAGTTAATTTTTTCTTGATTAAATGTGTATGATTGTTACTAAATTTTGTTTTTCAAAACTTTATTTAAATAATGTATCTAAAATACACCATATTACTTGCTTACAATTTTTATGCTTCATTAAATAGTGTTTATGCCTCTGTAAATTATAGGCATGAACGTTTGTAACGTATTGGTTCAGAATGCCCTAATTGTTTTTTTGTGTCATGGAATTTTGACATGTATTTTTCAAAATTTTACGTTTCATAGAATGTTGACATAATTTGTTTATACCTTGGTTATAATGGCATAATAAATAGCCATTAGTGAGTATCGTATAAGCCTTTAGGGTTATCTTATACATCTTTACTAGATTTATGAGATATAGCTTAAATTAGATTAAATATCTATATTAAATCAGTGAATGCTCAATATACATAATTGATTGCAAGTATAATGGTGTTGCTAACGATACAAGTCACACTAGTGCACATTCGTTTTTCCTTTTTTTAGGTTGTAAGCATGGCTTGGCTTCCATTTGTGGCATGTAAGTTAGTTAGCAAAAGCAAGCGTTAACTTGTACTTTTTTTGATAGACGGCTCTGGCTTACCTTCACGTGGTGTCTATTGTTAAAAATGATTATTATATAGTTTCATTAATAACGAAACTTAGTATTTTAATCATTTACTAAAAGCCAAGACAGTTATTTAACCCTCCGGCGGTCGTGGTCGTTTAAATTGATACAAACCAATCACTATTATCGTGTTTGAGTTTTGTAGTAATGACTTAATGTTCTGTTTTTTAGTAACCTGTTTTTTTCTTTTCTCTTTAGTTCTACCTCAAAAAGCACAATTAAATAACTTTTTTTGAATGGCATTTTTTATCATTTTGTGTAAATTGAAACTAGACCTTTGCATGTTAGTTTTTTTAATTAAATGACATATTTAATAAATATAACTTTTTTAAATGGTTCTTATTGCTTATAGCTAAATTTTTGAATTTTTTGTCATCGTTATTTTTTTATTAAAACAGTTTCAGACGTATTGTATCTGTTTGATACAACATGCGGAGGGTTAAATCAATGCCTGTAAAATGTCAATTTAAATAGACAATTATTTAATTTAATTAACAAAAAAGAAAGCAAAAAAGAAGCTTTGGGGCCATCCATATAGGTCATCATTTAAAAGGCGGGGGGAGGGGGTCAAGATTAAAAGGAAAAAAATTGACAAGGAGGAGGGAGGGGGTTGTGAGAAAAGGGCGTCACTTTATAGATTTTTAAAATTTTTTGTTTTAACTTGATTTACATGGGAAACTATGTAAACAATTCTTTTTATGAAGTTACTGTTTAAGAACATTTTTTATTTTATATTTTAAAAGTGTGGCAGCAGTTGTCAAACCTCGATATTGTCTGCTGCAATTTTTAAAATTATCTTAAATTCACATCTTATAATAATGGTCATCTGACTAAGAAAAAGCCGATTGTCAAAAAGAAGTTCATAAAATATGGAATGAGATCAAAAAAAGATTTTTTTTTTTTGTCAAATAAAGTCCCAATTTTATGACATCCTTTATGGATTAGGGGGGGTGTAAGGGAAAAGGACAATCTAATCTTTTCCCCTGTACCCCCTCCCCTTAATAAAGGATTATTAGGGCGGGGGGGGTATAAGGGAAAAAGACAATCGGTGACAAGGGGGAAGTCATTTATGGACAACCCTTATCTTTATTTTTTGTTGGTATTCTTACTAGAATACAATATGTATACACTAGAATACATACACAATATAAACAACAATACACATTTGTTCTTTTTGTACACATGTATTCTTTATTAAAGTAACTATATTTGAAGCTAGTATTGTCGTGCGTTTATGTTATGAAAAATAAATTAATGAAATATTTGTTCTGAAATTTTTTGTTTTTTAGTATTAATAAAAATGAATGATAAAGTAACATATCAGCTTTCATTATTTTCATTATATTATATTCCAGTAACTGATTATTTAGATTATGTAATTATTGAGTATTGTTAATTTAGTCTGTTTATTCTAATTTTTTTTTCTGTTTGTTTTACTTGTTAATGTTTTATCCTATTATTATCCTTAGATATGACTTCACTATTATTATAATTTATTTGTTAATTTGGTTTAAATATAAAATTAACTTCTTTTTAAGACCTCTACTATAATGATTGCTCTAATAAAAAGTTTTTGGAAGATATATTTTGATTTTAATTATGGTTTAATGATGTTAAATTTTATTTTTATGCTTTTATCAGTATTTATAAAGACATACTAAAATACACATCAATTTATCTACACATTTGTTTTTATTTAGACCAAGAGACACTGGAAAAACTGCGTAAGGGTTAATAAACTAAGTTAAATTTATAAGTACACAACTGCCTAAAAAAGAATTTCATAACTGTGAACCTCCATAAGTGTGAAGTATAAGTGTGTAAGTGCTCTGCCATGTTTAATAAATAAATATAAGAAAATTAATGTAAAGCCTTCCCCAACCAAAATCTAAAGCATGTATGTATGTAAATTTTGATAATAGTATGTCTATATTTATCAGTCATTGTATGTACTTTACTTCTCTATTGTTTTACTACTCATTTTACTACTCGGTCGTTGTTTATGCTTTTTACTTTTGCGTAAAATTTTCAAGTTCGCATTTATGAAGATTTGCCCTTATGCCTGTGTTTGCATTTTATTTTTGCACATTTTTGTTAGTTTGATTTATTCAGTATGAATTGTGTATTAATGTAAATAGGTTATTACTAATTTCCTTTATCTTTTCTCTATTTTCAATCTTTTATTTTTTTACTCATAAATTCGTTCATTTGAAATCAACAAGATTTAATTATAGTTATTCATATTTAGAAGCAGAAGAGAATGAAATAGGTATGTTTTAAAATATGAAATCTATTTTGTATAACTTGTATAAAAATCTTGTTACAAAGTGTATTAAAATAGTCTATGTGTATTTAGCCAAAAAAGAATTAGAACTTAAAAAAGGTATTGGTCTTTGATTTGCTTTGTTTTTTCAAATCATTTTAAGATAAAAATTATTGATTTAGTTAAATTAACTTTTGTTTTAGTGGCGATAAAGCAGCAGATTGGTAAAAATACTTAATTTTAATTTTAGAATTAACTAATTAGTTATAAACTAAATGCTGTAATGTTGCCAATGTTTCATTAAAATGTATTTTTTTAATTTGCAAAAGGGAAGAACTAGGTAGATATATCTTAATGGAGTTGTAAATTTGTTTTTTTTAATTGTTTTTTACCAAATAAAAATAATTTAAAAATGTTTTTTTAGCTAAAAGAGCTTTAAATGGACGAAAAGAAAGAAAATTCTTGGTAGGATTTCTATTGTTGCAATAAATGCTGCATTAGTATATATATGATAAATTGTAATATATTGTAAATTGAGCTAAAATTATAAAAGAGTTATACTTTTTATTCATTTAGCTGCTAAATGAATAAAAAGTATAACTCTTTTATAAAAATATAAAAGAGTTATACTTTTTATTCATTTAGCTGGCGGACAGTATTTACTGCAGACCGGTATCTTATTTGTTTCTTTCTTTGTTTGTTTAAAGAAAAAATGTTTAATAGGTTAACACTACCCAGCGGGCATTTTGACGTTCTAAGGACGTCCGTAAGTCGTCTTAAGTCTCGTCCGTAAGACATCCTTAGTTAGTCTCAAATGAAAGGCTTGAGGACGTTTATTCCAGACGTCCTAAAAACGTCTTTTTAGACGTCCTAGAGACGTTTTATGCAGACGTTCTAGAGACGTCTCTGGCTGGTCTCATATGAAAGACTTAAGGA